GTGCGCTGTCGGTGGGTGTAATTGGTGGTGTAGTGTCAAAGCCCTACGAGATGAATAGTAGTAAGTACATGGAGTGGTTGTTTGGGTGTTTGCGATTTACTAACCTTGATAGCTACCACCGTTGGAGCGCTACGACCGCACGCACATGCTACTGGACTACCAGTGCCGCCATACAGTTTATCAACATTGATACCAGAGCCCAGCTCAGCGACCATCGCTCCGTACCCGATTCCGTCGCCATCGAATACATCCGTTGTCGCCGCCCTTCCTTCGTTATCAACCCCATATGCAGTGTCCAGCTCCTCACCAGAAGCAACACAAGTGGCACTGTCGATATCAAGTACGCTCAATATCACGACTCAGAACTCAACATATGTATACCCATCGATATCGAACTCAGCAACCGTCGTCTCGCCTGCTTCGGTTCCCACGCCAGGCTATGTGCCTATCGTAGTCGAAGTTGTCTGTGAGACAGTATACTACTCAGCATCGCCAAGCTCTTCAGTTGCTTCGACTGTGCTAACTCCCAGCGCTACTCCCTCCTCCGTGTTTGCCAGCATCCATCCTGGTCTGGCAATAGCTGTAGTTGGGCAAGCGGATGAGCTGGCTGCTTCTGCTTCCATCAACCTCCCGCTCTTGTCGTCGATCTTAATACCTGATGTCAACCACCAAACCATCTTCACCACGACTACAACCACGACAACCACTGTCATTCTGACGCTACCCACTCCGCTACTCCCGACCTCTTCAAACGTCGAATCTACTGCATCGGCGACAACGACAACGACTGTGGTTACACTCACGTCTGCTTCCGCATCGACATCAGCAGACCAGCCAACCTCGACATCAACAAGCGGTTCAGATGAACCGTCATCCTCAGCAACCGACTCTGCATCGACCATCCTCTCCACCGTCACCGTTACATCCTCAACACCATCACCACTCTCCAACACCGATACCGCCTTCCCCACCGCCCCGCCATTCTCCTACAATCCCTCCGCCTCCCGTGGCTCCGCCTCCCCCATCTCGCGACCCACCCCCGAACTCTCCAGCGCCCTCGTCGCCGGCTCGACGCTCAGCACCGCTACCACACCTAGCTCAACCTCAACACGCATCTCGCAATATACTGGCGAACCACCTGCACCCCCGGCTGCCACCGGAGGTGCGAGTGGTATGCTGAGTGACAGGAGTAAGGAGAGGGTTTGGTGGGTTGCGTTTTTCGTTCCTTTGTTGCTTTTGGGGTAGAGTATGATGTGTGAGAGAAGTGTAAGGAAGAGAGGACGATTACGATTCTTATGTGTTTATTATGATGATGTTATTTAATGTTTGTATGAGTAATTAAGGTAGATTTGAGATGGGATGCAATGGGACGGGATTGGGGAAAGAGGAGGATATACCAGGTTTTATGGCGCATGCATGACGTTTATACTAGATTAGGGGCCTTGGGTTTGATTTCAGATGGGCAATTGTCTACGGGCTATGCTACCATGAGTTCTGATCGGCTTTAGATGTTGGAAGAGTATTATTTAATGTCAAATGAAGATTTCATTCAAGCAAACTTGCCATGCAATGCGTTCAAGACCGGCGACGTCATCGAATTTACAGTTAGCTGCAACAGCGCTGCAAATCCTACGGATCTAGTCCCTAGTTTCCGAAAGAACAAGATTATTACATCAAACTATGTCCAAAAAGTTTAATGACTGAGATGATCCGGGGTTGAAGTGCGGAGAGCGTTGTTCGTTGTGATCAGAGCGGGGGGGAAGCGCCTTGGCTAGCGCAAGCCACCATTTCTTCCGTCAATCAAACCTCATGTCCCACACACTCGACACAGCTTTCTTCCCTTCGCTTCCACGCGTAAAGTCGAAAACGCACGCGTCTATAACGAAGATGCGATTACAGCAAGCCTTCCGATCTGCACCGGATGTGCGCTCGAAGAGTTAGCACGCGTCACATGCAGCCCAATAAGCTGCGGCATCATTTCGGTTGGGAAGTATGACATAGATCATCGCCCATTGAACCGGTACCTCAATATACAATGAGCGTCTCGGGTGAAGATTGTCCGCAGCACATCCAGAAGTCTGCATGCACCCCGTCCAACGGCCCGTAGACCCTGGAGAGCATCTATAAGACTTACGGTACATTGTCTAGAACCTGGTATCCGGGCGAGACTGTACTCACACGGTGTACACTCCATACCATTATGCGGCAATTCTTCTCCGGTTCAGCCTCCCTGCTTGCTGGGTGTGCTCTACTCCTTCCTAGCAGCGCATACGACTTGGTTCGCAGACAGCAAGCAGCGAATGCGACCTACAAGGATGCTTCCGCACCAGTGGAGGACAGAGTGGCGGATCTTCTTTCCCGGATGACTATCGAGGAAAAGACAGCTCAGCTCATTCAGGGAGATATCTCGAATTGGATCAACACCACCACCAATGCTGTCAACGAGACAGGTCTGGAATGGAATTTCCGCGTCCGCGCGGGTCAGTTTTACGTCGGCTATCCGATACCTGCGGAATGGATCAGCAATGGCGTAAAGATTGGCCAGGACTATCTTCTGCACAACACGACATTGGGCATTCCAGCAATGGTTCAGACGGAAGCTATACATGGCTTGCTCGTCGGTAATGCGACCATCTACAACAGCCCGATTGGGCAGGCCTGCTCGTGGGATCCACAGCTAATACACGACATGGCTGTGGCGATTGCGAAGGAGTCGGCTCCTCTCGGCATCAATCAGCTGTTCGCTCCACTCGCGGATCTGGCGCGTGAGCTGCGTTTCGGAAGAGTGGAAGAAACGTACGGCGAGGATGGTTATCTAGCCGGCGAGATGGCATACGAGTATGTCAAGGGAGTGCAAAGTCTGAATGTCAGCGCTACGGTCAAGCACTTTGCCGGGTTCAGTAATCCAGAGCAAGGTCTCAACACCGGACCAGTCCATGGAGGCGAACGGGAGCTGCGAACCACGTGGCTGCCGCCTTTTCATCGAGCTATCATGGATGCTGGTGCCTGGAACATCATGGGTGCTTATCACTCTTACGATGGAATACCTTCAATCGCGGATGGCCATATGCAAGAGACAATTCTCCGCGAGGAATGGGGCTACAAGTACTGGCTCACTTCGGATGCGGGCGCTACAGACAGGCTGTGCTGCAACTTCAAGCTGTGTCAATGCAAGACAGAAGACACGCCAATCGATAGCGAAGCAGTGACGCTCATGGCTCTACCAAACGGCAACGATGTAGAGATGGGTGGAGGCTCATACAACTACGCAAACATCCCTCGTCTGGTCGAAGAAGGCAAGCTAGACATCGAAATCGTCGACCGAGCTGTGAGCCGCCAGCTCCGTGCGAAGTTCGAAATGGGTCTGTTCGAGAACCCATACCAAGGCCTCTCCACGAACGCGACTGAGTCCATCATCCACCCTGAAGAGCATGTGCAGCTTGCCAGGACGCTCGAGGCTGACTCCATCGTCTTGCTCGAGAACAAGAACAGCGCCTTGCCCCTCTCCAAGTCTGCGAACATTGCTGTCATTGGCCCAATGGCCAACATCACTAATCTAGGAGACTACGTCGTCTACCGCTCTCAGTACAACCCTACCAACGTTACCCCGTTGCAAGGCATTCAGAGTGCATCTAGTGGCACTGTGACCTACGCCCAAGGGTGCGAGCGCTGGTCAAACGATCAATCCGGCTTCCCCGATGCCGTCGCTGCGGCTGAGGCTGCAGATGTCGCAGTAGTCGTCGTCGGTACCTGGTCACGCGATCAGCAAGAGCTCTGGCAAGGACTGAACGCCACTACCGGTGAACACGTAGACGTCGCATCACTCAACCTTGTCGGCGCCATGGGCGAGCTCGTCCAAGCCATCATCGAAACCGGCAAACCCACCATCGTCGTATACTCCTCCGGCAAGCCCGTCACCGAACCCTGGATCTCGGACAACGCAGCCGCGCTCCTCCAGCAATTTTACCCCGGTGAGCAAGGCGGCAATGGCTTAGCCGACGTCCTCTTCGGCGACGTCACGCCCTCCGGCAAACTCTCAGTCTCCTTCCCCTACGACGTCGGTACCCTGCCAATCTACTACGACTACCTCAACTCCGGTCGCGCCACCGACGCCGGAGCCATCCTTCCAAACGGCACCCTCCAATTCGGCCACCAATACGTCCTCAACAGCCCTCAAGCACTATACGACTTCGGTTACGGCCTCTCATACGCAAACTTCACTTACTCCAACGTCACACTCTCAAAGACCGAAGTCAGCCCCAGCGACACCATCACCGCGACCGTGACCGTAACGAACGAATCTGACGTGGATGGTAAGGAGGTAGTGCAGGTCTATGTTCAAGATGTTTTCGCTAGTGTTGTAGTGCCGAACAAGGAGCTCAAGGGCTTCAAGAAGGTTATGGTCAAGGCGGGTGAGACGGTGGATGTTAGTGTTGAGTTGGATGTGGCGAAGTGGGGGCTGTGGGATAGGAAGATGCAGTATGTGGTTGAGAAGGGGGATTTTGTTGTGCATGTTGGGGCGAGCTCGATGGATTTGAGGGGGAATGCGACGGTTACTGTTGTTTGAGGTTGCATGTGTCATCCTCTCTTCGAAATAGCTTTAAAAACGGTGTGAGCGGATGAATGAGCCAAAGTCGAGATGATTAATGATGATGCTGTGGTGGTTCAGGTCAAGAAACGACAGCTCGATTTGGTCGCATTGTCACGTGATACCGCGTCACGCGCTAACCTTGGAAGGCACGATGGAGCCACGCTAAGCGTGGCCCGTGCCATAGCAAACACACGCTTACTCCAGTTCTCCCCTCGTCTCACTCTCGCGCTCACCTTGCTTTTGGAGCTGTTATGTCCTCGCGTTTAACGCGTTTCTTGTAATGTGAATTGGCTTTTGCACTCTACGCCACGCGTCATTTGGTTTACGCTGCCATAGCACCCACATATGCACAGCTGCGGCATCGTCTACGTATCAAGCTATGGCAGCATATCGCTGTCCCATCCCCGATATGAGCCGGGATTATTTGGGAGCGGAATTTGAATTGGGCGAAAGTGATAGCGACTACGGAAATGTCAGCGACGACAACGGATATTCTGATGACGACGGCTATAACCAACTTGATCTAAACACTGATCTCATCGGCATTAACCGCACGACGAAGGATCTCAATATCGTGAATTCTTACAGGCCATACTGGTCGTGTCAAGAAGCATTCCGCGAGTCGTACCAAAACTGGTCAGTATGTTTGCTGGCGATTTCAAAACATCAGTCTCTGACGAGCCACAGGAGAGACGGCATTCTGAGTTCTTTCAACCTCAATCTATCCCAACTTCATCCTACGTATACCGAGAACAAAAAGAAACGAGTCATACTCATCGAGGCCAGTCACCCGGACACCAAAGAACTTCTTGGTTTCATCCAGTTCAAACATGATAAGGACGGATACTGCAAAGATGGCCTCAAGATCGTCAATTTCAAAGCCACTCTGAAGTACCGCAACCTGGGTACTGGAGCAACAACCAAGTTCCATGATGATAGACAGACAGGACAGCACGGCGATGGCATGAAAATCTCTGCTCTTGTTTATCGGCGCGAAGGCTACAACGTCTGTTATGAGAGCAGTGGTTTCAGATGGAAATTCATCTACAAAAAGGGTAACCTAGTCTGCTCGCTCACACGCATTAAGGAGAAGACTCTGGAGAAGATGAAAGCGAAGGCCAAGGGTCAGCCCAGGACTTATGACTCTCATCCCTGGGAAGATGTTTGCTTGACAGTTGGCTCTAAAGATTCTACTCGGGATGAGTTCGGGTACAAGAAACCAGGCGAACGACTCCACATTACTGAATTCAAGGAGTGGCTTACCGTCACGCTCGATATCAACCCACCCCAGAACATCATCCGCACCATTCATGGCGATCTCATCCGGGACCCCAAATACCAAGGGCACATGTATCTGCGCGGTCTTCTCTTGCCGGACGGTGGAATAAAGGGAAAGAACTACGTATACGGTTATAACTTTGCTGAGGGACGTACTAGCATTGATCGCAATGCGCTCATGGGCGTAGGCGAAGAGAGTGAAGGAATCTCTGCTATTTGGACAGCTGCGATGCGAACAGACGAGTCGACTGACTCGGAACTTGTGTCGGACTACACCCAACTGCTGCTGAATTCCATCAACAAGAAGGGTGACGTGATGATGCAGATTGAAGATGGAAAGGGTGAGCTTATGCAAAGCGATGTCACCGGATGGATCTGGACGAAGATGAAAACGCTCAACACGGACCAAGAAGGTCGGGCGGCCTTCTACTATTCGGCCGCTGATGGCAAAGACGTAGGTGGAAGATACCTGACAGAACGCCATCGACTAACTTTATATCTTAGCAGGTTCATATCATCGAGCAAAGCTTGCGCAAGAATCCAGTCCCCATAGACCCCGAGTTGTGGAGGATCTTGAAAAGTCATACCCCCTGTAGGACGCCTCAAGACGAGCTGCTACATCGTTTTAAGTCCGCAGAAATTGTCAAGACGCTAGACGATCCCTTCGCGCTATATGTGTCACATTTGTTGATGTGTCTGCTGCGGTCTTCTCCAGCAACGAAGGCTATGGGGCTCTGCTTTGTGAAAGGCGAGCATTTGAACATCGATGCCGGGTTCTTTGTGAGTAAGTGGAAAGTTCACAGCAAGTGGCTTACTTGGGAGGGAGCGCATGAGCAAACGTTCTGTGAAGAAGATCAGCGTTCACCCGGGGAGCTGTTCTTGTGCGACCATGCAGTCTTGCAACTATGGGATATCATGATCTCTCAGCTCATGGCGGATGGCGGATATCCGCAAGTTGTTGCTAATGAGCGGTGGCTTAAAAGCATGGCCAGAAGTCGCTTATCGGAGATGCCTCGATTCGTTCAATACTCTGCAACAAACAAGAAAGGCGAGATTTTTGTCAGATGGGAGTCCATAGACTCGCATAGGCACAAGCACAAAACTGTCAGGGTTGTTTTGCATCGATGGAGATGTGAGCAGAGTGAAACGAAGGATGAATTGAAACTGAACCATGACGGCAAGCACTATCGGAGTCATTGGTTTTATCATCAGGCTAACAGTGGGTAGAACGGCTTTGCTCTTGTCCATCCCAGACAGCAAAAGCCGTCAGCGATGGCGTCACCTTCACTGGTCTCGATCCCAGCTTTGACTACAGCCCCAGTGTATCAAGAGACGCTGAAGGGGCTTTCATTGGTCCTCACCTTGAGGGCACAAGGCCTCGTGACAAAGATGAATTTTTTGAACTCATTGCTGAAGTGGACACCGAGCAAGTACTACGTAAGTCGTGCCATATCATGCTAGCAATCTCTAGAGAAAGTTCACCTAACATATCCAGCCTCGGTCGAGATCCGCTCACGCCCCGATGCTGCCGATCCAGTTCGTCAGCGGAGCAATCACCAGCTTCCCCATGTCAGCGATGATGACGAGATGGAAGACAATGGCTCTCTCTATCAGCCATCAACTCCAAATCGGCCTCCATCAGTTCCAGCGGCTCCGCCGACTCCGCCCACGGCACTGAGCCCTGAGCCACCACAGGTGCGCAGCAAGACAATACAAGTGAGCCTGGGGAAGCAGCCCAAGGAAGATTTGTACGGTCAGTACATCCCGTCTCTGAGATTTTCAATATCGCGAACTGACATTTGCAAGCCCTTGGCACCAAGATCGAACACAAATCGCTTGATTGGGGTGGTAGCTTCCCAGGAAGTCATGACTTCTACCGAACACGCGAGAAACCAGAACAGGAGATATACATCCTAAAGTCGAAGGTTAGCACGACAAAATCGCGTCACAAAAGAATGCAATCTGGACCTAAAGAGCGCGGCAGTGCGAAGAAATCGCGAAGCGGCACTGTGGCTGAACGGACGGCCCAACCTGCGTACATTGTTCTTTCGAGCCCAGAACCAGAAAACGATGTGGACACGCCCATTCCCCGGGAAAGCCTCGCTGTACGCAGTGGGCGGGCGGATATAACCCCACTGCCAGACAAAGGCATAGTATATCGGTACTGAGGGAGCGATATGATCGCGACGGTTGAGCGTTTGGTGAGACAGCTGTTGAACGATCGTACGAGAACTTTTATTGGGCACCCAACGGGCGGCTTTTGCACTAGATCGGTTAATGTACCGTGTCCACGCGAAGCAGACTCGCGACGCCATCCTGCAGGGCCATTGGGCTACGCTGTCAATCCTAGTCTACCCGCTCTGCATCGAGCTTACATTCGCGTATAAGCCTAATGTACTCAAAAGCTTCTAGTCGACGTTCTAGTCGAAGTATTAGCCGTCTCGAGCCTGGTTGTGGTTGGCTTGTTGGCCCCTGATGCGCTGGCGCCCCTTGTCACTGGCCGGGACGCTCACAGTTCTCTACAGCTTTCCGAAACTTGCATGCATGGTACGAGTCCCATGTAAAATGTATGAATATATACCTTGCATGGAATTTGAGTTGTCGTGCAGTTCGCATGGAAGCGATAGGTTCGCTGGTGCCGCTTGCTACAGTGACGCGTGATGCTAGCACACTACAACTCAAGCACTTCAATCCGTGGAACATGCAGGGCTATATACCAGAAGTATCACGAATAGTATGTCCACAGTGATGCTGTTCCAAAGAAAGCCCAAGCTCGCGGTGGCGGCCGAGCTTGACGCAGTACCACGTGCCGACTACCTATACGTATATCCTGGACTGACCAGGACAGGCTACATATGATATCTCTCATCCTTTTTCTCTCCTAGCATTACAAGATTTCAACATCTCAACGTGGTGTCGGTCTGTACTTCAGATTCACTCATCGCGCCGCATAGCTGAATCGGGTTAGCACGTTACGGCCGCCGCCATCTCGCTTAGATGCGGCGACCTTTCCAACGGCCACGATAATCGGAACCGTCGGTGACGACTGCGCAACTCTCTAGACGTCGATATCAGCAGATAGGCAGACGATTAATCACGAGCCATGTCCAATTGGAGCCATGGCAGCCGGCGTAGAGGGCATCGGGAAAAGCGACGGAGCTTGCCCGTCGCAAAATCTTGCTCGATAAGGAAACAACCTCCACGAATGCCCCGCGCCTAGTCTACAGCGACCACAACGACATGGCCGCTTTCGGCCCACTATACTCACTAACCGATTGCGATGCGAGTGATGGTAGTAGTGCGTGATGATATAAATACGCAATGCGATGGTCTTGGATGGTCATCGCTGCATCAAACCTCTCCCACTTCTATGCTCTGCGACGATAAACCCTGGTTACTGAACAACATGTCGTCCAGCAAGCCCTCATACCTCGTCGTTGGCGCCGGTGTCTTCGGTATTTCGACTGCTTACCACCTGATCAAGAAGTACCCAGACCGACAAGTTACTGTTGTCGACCAGGATGCTTGGGACGCCGATAACCGCGTAGCAGCTTCATGGGACTGGAACAAGGTCGTGCGCGCCGACTACGACGATGTCATCTACTGCAGACTCGCGCTTGAGGCGCAAGATGTTTTCAAGGAGGACCCATTATGGCAGCCGTACTTCCACGAGACTGGTATCTTCTGGGTTTGCCGTTCAGATTACGCACAAGAAGTCATCGACAACTACAAGAAGCTTGGACGCGAAGCAGACCTACAGTCAGTTACTATTGAGGAGGCGAAGAAGCTGTTCGGCGGACTTTTCGAGGATGCGAACTACGACGGCGCAAAGAGTGTACTCGTCAACAAGACGAGTGGCTGGGCACAAGCTGGCGACGCGCTAAGAGCAGTTACCAAGTGGTCGATCGCAAAGGGCGTCAAGTACATCACCGAGAAGGTCAAAGACCTAGACTTCGACAGCGCCGGCCGCTGCACAGGCGTCAACACCGAGCAAGGCAGCACCATCAAAGCCACGCACACCATCCTCTCAACCGGCGCCTACACCGCCAAGCTCCTCGAACAAGCCGCCCAGGAAAGCGGCAACCCCAACCTGCGTTCTGGCTCAAGAATTGTCGCTGGTGGTATCACAACCGGCATGACGACTCTAGACGAGAAGTCGTACGAGAAGTTCAAGGACATGCCCGTCGGTGTCCAGGGCTACACCGCCGCATACGGACCCTTCATCGGCAGCTTACCGCCTACCAAGGACCGCGAGCTCAAGTGGTGGGGCGAGAAGATCTTCAAGCATACACATGAAGTACTACCCGGTCGCTTCGTTTCTGCGCCGCCGTCTGGGAAGGATTATAACCAGTGGGATGTGCCTGGTCCGTTGAAGCTGGATATTGATCACGCGAATGATGTGTTTTACGGGAAGAAGGGCGCGAATTGGAAGATGGAGAAGCATCGCATTTGCTGGTAAGTTCTACACTCATGCACCCTATTCCTTCACAGTACTAACATCACCCAGGGACGCATTCACAACTTCATCCGACTTCATCATCTCGCCCCACGCCGGTGCCAAGGGCCTCTACGTCGCCACATGCGGCTCCTTCCACGGCTACAAGTTCTTCCCTGTTCTCGGCAAGTATGTCGTGCAGATGCTGGAAGACGAGCTGGAACCAGCACTCAAGGAGAAGTGGGCATGGGATCGCGAAAGGCCGGCGCCTAGCCTCAACCCCGACTGGCCTAGGTTTGAGATGACGGATTTGATGGACCAGTGGCCGAAGGCCAAGTTGTAAGATGTATCAAGAGGATTTTGATGAAGTTAATGAGTGGTTGTTGCATATTTGCATGGCGCCTGGGTTGGCGTTTACATTTCTTTTACATAGCGGATGTTATGAATAACAATCCTACTTTTCCATCTTGCAATCCCATCGCCGTATTCCAGCCTTCTCCTCAAGTTCCACCTCGATCTCATCGACCCACTCATTCATTTCTTCCAGATAATTCGTGATCTTTTTCATGCAGCGTTTGAAGTGTCGCTTTTGCTCCTCGTCGAGCGTTCTGAACTTATCTTTACCCCACGTACCCAGGTAAACATACTTCATATCTTTTAGCGGGCTCATCACGTTTCCGGTAAGACAGTCCATTCTTTCGATTTCGGTGGTGAGGGAAAAGAACGGATCGAGGAAGCAGCCATGAAAGTAGAGCTTTTCCAGAGGGCCGGGGCCGCACATCTTGGGTGTTTAGAGGAGATTGCGGTGAGGGAATGATGTCTGAGTTGGGAAAGACTAAAGGGCGCGGATTGGTTTTAACTTGAACAAACACTCGTGCAGCCGCCATATAGCGCTTTCTTACATTGTTGGAGCACAAACATCTGGTCATGAAAGGGTACATACGTTTGCGTGCTAGAAGGTGCGAGCAAGCACACGCCGTATATACCGCGAGCGAACGTACCAGATCTGCCCGCCACTGCCTACTCCAAGATGTCTTCTCGCATAGTTGAAAATGACCCCAAAACTTTCACAGATAACTTCGCAATCGAGGAGCTCTACAAAGCAGTCCTCGGGTTCCAGCGTGTATGTCTCGGTAGAGATGTTAATGGCAGCATGATCGAGACATCCGACCGGACGAAACACCCCACTCTAAGCGCGGGTAACAAGAGCCTTTTCAAAATAACTGCGGCGAATATGCAGAATGTTCTGAAGTGGAGTAGAGATATCGGTTTAGACATGACGGTTGAAGAGGCTGGTGATGTTGGGAAACAAGGGCTACCTGATCTTCCCGGTTGGGTGTTGGGAGAAGAAATTAAGAAAAGCAAGCACGGTGACGATTGGTTACAGTGGAGTAAGTAACCCTTCATCGTGTAGCATATAAATGTTCATTTGATTCATATTTACATCGAAGTGTTACACCTACAGTAGGTGCCAGCCAATTTTCCTTTGCTTCCCTCCTCTTCGCATGCAAGGCACGTCTAAGCAGTGAGCTTGCTCTTGATGAAGGTAAGGGCCTGGTTTCCGTAAATGCTGACGTACTGCTGGTGGTGGTTGGCGTCGTTTCCGTTGCAGCAGTATGGGTCCTGGGAGTCGCAGTAGCTCTGGATGATGCTGGTGCTGGCGGGTGAGCAGGAGAATCCTGAGGGGCGGGCGGCGAACTGAGGTAGCTGTTAGTGGGAGTAGATTTGGATGAGGAAGTGGCAAACTTACGCCTTGGGCCTTGCAGGTACCGACGTTGTAGGGGAGACCGTTGCGGTTGTGGGGGTCGCCCATGAAGATTGCGGCCTTGACGGCTGCCAGGGCGGTGCCGGTCAATGTGGAACCTGCGCCGCCGCAGACGGCATTGTCCATGATCTGACCTCCCTGCGGGCCGTTAGTACTTGGCTTTCTTGGATTCATGGCATCATCCATACCTGAGAGTATCCGATAAGGACGATCTGGGTGTCAGGGCACTTCTGGTTGTAGGCAGTAACAGCCTTGACAACAGCCGCAGTTCCCTGAGAAGCAGAGTTGTCGTAAGAGATGCCTCCGCAGGCAGAGCCTCCACCACAAGCTGGGTATACGATGGCCTCAGATCCTGCACCGGGGTAGGCGCTCTTGACGGAGTTTACGAGCCCAGCGGCAGTACCGTAGCCATTGCTTTGAGGCAGAGTGGTCTCACGGGCTCCGAAGATGTAAACCTTTGGGCAACTCTGGCGCTCGGCGAGCTCAACGGGGCCGGCGGCGGCGAGACCTGCAAAGAGAGCTGTTGCTGCGGCGAACTTCATGTTGACGTTTGGATAAGTGGGTACTTTGCTTCGGATGGAGATGAGATGTCAAGGGAGCGTGATGATCAAGTCTGGGCAACGGGAGAAGTGTTTATAAAGACCAGTTTCACCTGGCCATAGTACCAGTCCTTTAGGCAGAATCAGTCTGCCTCGACTATACCTCAAAGCGTGGCGGTGGGGTACAGGATACTGGTTTGCGTTCTCCTGGTGCACAGATGGTCCTTTCATCCGTCCTCGCAATTTATCTGAGCAAGTCACGCCGTCCTGTGACGAAGATCCGACAGGGATTATTGCCGTAGCTCCACGTCCATTTCATGCAGAACCAAGCCGAGCTCGTCTGGGGTACATATGAATCCCAGTGTCTTCGGGGGAAAAGCGAGCAAGCGAGCGAGTAAAGAGCTGCAATGTATAGCACCTTCGGCACAT